GGCCCCCTCTGCCCGCCCGCCGCGCTCGGGGCCCTCGGCCGCGGGCGCACGTCTGCCTCAGGCGTCCCTGCCGACCCAGAGGGACTACAGACGGAGCCGGCTCACGGAAGGTTGGGGGGCGCGGGCCCCGAGGGAGGAAATTTCCCGTCCCGAGGGCCGGAGCGTGGAGACTGCAAAGGCGAGTTTACATGTGAGGCCAGAACAACCAGGAGGACACTAAGGAAGCCTGAGGCTCGTGTGCGCACCTCAGCGTAAGGGCATTTGTGCCAGGCAAACTCACCACCCCCGAGCCTGGGGCCTGAGAACCTGGACCTACGGGTCGGGGGAAAGCGGCCACATCCCCGACTGGCACCCTGCAAAGATCAGGAGTCTGAGATGCCCCCTCTTGGGGCGCCATCCCCACGCGAGGCGGCCCCTGCAGGCCTTGGCCGGGAGTGCCCCGGGGCACTCCCCGGCTACGGGCCGGGGCCGCTGGCCACCCCACTCGGGTAGGTTCAGCTCGACTCCCCGGGCTCGACGGGCGGCTGGGCCTCTCCTGAGTGGTCAGCGAGACCCGCCAATCGGGGCGCTGGGGCCGGCTCTGGGCCGCTGGATATTGGCTCCTCACACTCACCGTGCCTCGCTCCCCCGGTTCGCTGCCCGCGCTGATTGGCTCCAGTACCGGACCCCGAAACCCAATCAGAGGCTCCAGCCGCCGTTGCCGCCGCCACTGCCGCTGCTTTGTAAAATGGCGAACCCGAACAAAGGGGAATCGGGCCTCCCTCCAACCGCCTCCGCGCAGGCGCCTCAGAAGCCACGCCCCCTAAAGCCACCTCCGGGCTCGCTCCACCCCCCCTTGGAGGAGCACTGCGCAGGCGTCCCCTGCAGCCACGCCCACCTCCCGTCTTTGACACAATCTACGACCGAAGGAATACGCAGGCCCCTTCAAGATGCTCCAGAACTTCAACCCAAACGCCGCCCTGAGCATAGTACCACGCAGGCGCTAACTGGCCCCCTTTGCTAACTGCCCACCCCCTTCTGAGCAGCCCCTGGGTCACACCCCGGGGACTAATGCGCAAGCGCTGCTCTTGTCAACTCGCGGTCAGCCGTCTAGTTACGCATGCCCAGAGACAGCGGGAAAAACCACGGAATTTACCGCCGGAAGTTTGGCAGCCATTACCAAAGAGTGAGGGCACGGCTAGCTGGATAGAGGGACTCGCTTCCGCCCCGCCATTGGGCGGGTGAGGCCATCTTACGTGTGTGTAATTAAGGGCTGTGGGTGGATTGGCTCCGCATCTGGGTTCGTCCGCTGTTCTCTTACCAGGGTCGGAGCCGGAGCCCTGCCCTGCGGGGTGGGGACCTCCTAACGGCCTACTCCTTTCCAGGTGAAGGGTGACCCCGGTACGTTGGTGCTTTGGGCGAGCCTCCCCGCACCCTCCTACGGGACCCCAGGAGAGACCCTTCGTCCTCGCTGACCCACCCTAGGGTAGGAGACAGAAAATGGGAAGCTTCTCTAGATTCTTTCCTCTCCGCTCTCCCACACAAAAAAAGGAGGTGAACCTTCCGTGAGAGGCCGTCTTCCCTCTCTCCCCTTGCCTGGGGCTCAGCACGGCCCTGCCCCGTACACTCTGTGGTTGCGGCTTATCGGGACTGTAGCCAAGTCCCTCCCTTTTTTCCTAAGCGAAATGTGCTGTGGAAATACTGCGTCGTGGGGAGGAAAGGAGAGTGTCCCAAATCCGCCTTGCTCGGGAGCAGGCTTGGAGAAAGGAGGAGGCGTGTCTTAGGACAGCCTTTGCTTTCGCTGGCGGAGCCGGACGCTCCTGGAAAGCGCGAAATGAAAGCGGGTCGCGGCAGCCCCCGAACCTAGGCGTTCTTCCATTTTCTTGCCCCCGAAGAATTTTGTATTACTTCCTGGAGGCAGAACGAACTCGCATTCAGCGATAAACATTGGGGAAAAAACGTCATAAGTGAGTGGTCAGGCCAATCTGAACATAATCAGGCAGCCTATATATTTTTGCTTCCTTTTCCCTTCTCATAGCTGAAGAAAAACTTAAATTCTGGAAATAGCGACTCATTATCATGGCCAGCAGCCTTAATGAAGATCCAGAAGGAAGCAGAGTGCGTAACAACTATTAATTTATAGATGAACTGAAGTTCAGAATAATTGAGATGAAAAGCATAAACACTTTAATTAAATCAGTAGTTGAATTCGTTTTTACTCTAGCTGATTTACTTAAGAAAGGGTAATACAATACTAAGCAGGGACCATCCATCATTTTTCTTTCACACATGCTTTAATTGGTTGTAGTTAACTCCGTTAAATTAAATCCGAGGATTTGGCTTTAAATCAAATTGCAGGAGAGGTGGGGACGATGTAGTGGTGGGGGTCACAGAGAAAAGGGAAATGAAAGAAATAGTATTTATCTGGATCTAATAAAACATTTTTTTCCCTTCGTATATTTTAGATCACTTATGTGAAAGGAGACCTTTTTGCATGCCCCAAAACAGACTCTTTAGCCCACTGTATCAGTGAGGATTGTCGCATGGGTGCGGGGATAGCTGTCCTCTTCAAGAAGAAATTTGGAGGGGTGCAAGAACTGTTAAGTCAACGTGAGTTTTGAAAACAACTTACCTGGTTTGTCCTGGTTGGAGCATTTTTTTGATCTCCTGTTATACTTTAATTATTAAACAAGGAATGCATGCTGAGAGGAGGTTTTTAACAACTGAGCTTTTAATTCTTCGGATTAAGTTTTTCCTACACAAGAATGGCCTCTAGTCTGGGCCCTTATCACACCAAACTGAATTCTTATAAAAGTTTCTAATCTCTTTTTCTTCTATCATAAAACTTCTTTGATAATATTACTGTACTTCTCTGAAATCTGTAATAAGTGTTAGTAAATTCCACAGGTATTAGTTTGGCATTCAATATCCTTTACTTACTAATACACCACGTATTCATTAAAGAGTATTTTAGAAACCTCCTCCTCCTTATGAATACCTCCCATCACTTTCTGCCAGTGACTTTAAACTATAGATGTGCATTAGAATTATACATGAAGCTTCTGAAGCAATCTCTCAGACTACATTCGAGGCTTTCTGAACTGGTGTACACCAGTGATTCTGATCTCAGCCTTAGACCAAAGCAATTTCTTACTATGTGTTGCAGTTATTTGTAAAGATGATACCATTTCTGGGTTGAAAACTCCTTAATAATTAAGAACTTTTATTATATCTTTGTTTCTCATAATACTTTACACAGCTCATTGTATGTAGAAAGATCATTACTGAATGAACACACACTTTTGGCGAGTAAAAAATGGTGTACATTCTAAAACAATTTTAAGGCAATAGACATTAAAGTTTTTTAAGTGGACAAGTGAGGGTATATTTGAAACTAGGGACAGAACAAAACCTGGGGTGTGAGGAAACATTTTAAGAAAGCTGTGAATTAAGGAATATAGTTATTTGGGAAGGCTAGTAAGGACGGTAGGTTTCTTCACAGTTGACAATTATTTCCAGTTCTGAGGTAAACTCAGATCCGTGAAGATGAAAAAATTTTAAGAATGGAGGTTGGTATTTTGGTTTTCTTTCTTTTCTATTAAATAATTGTTTTTCTTAGAAAAGAAATCTGGAGAAGTGGCTGTTCTGAAGAGAGATGGGCGATATATATATTACTTGGTAAGATGGGGCCAATTCTTAGTACGTTCTAAGGATTGGCAACCGATGGGCTGCATTGCTTTTGTGTTGATCATGTTGCTCTGTTCTAGACAACTAACAATGTCAAAAAGCTTCCGATCTCATGATAACTCAGGTCCGGAGGTGGTGGCCATTTGGAGCACTGGGTTCGAAAGGAGTGTGAGGCTGTATCTCAGCTCTGTGGGAGAGTAGTATACTATCCACCATAGGCCTGTGTTCTAAGACTTGCAAAAGTGAGGAATGACTCGCATACTTCAATTTTTCCCTAGTCATAGTGAGATAGAAACAATAATGTCTTAAGAGATAGATTCACCAAAGGAAATTTTTCTTATTTTTCCCTGTCAAATGCAGTGTCAGGTAATATGCAGCTTCTCTCCTGCCTGCTGCTTGAGGGTGGTCTTCTCCAACTGTCCAAATGGTCTTTGGCCCCAGAAAAGGTGTGGCTTCTTTAGAGATGGTGGCAGGTGACTTACAGCCAACCTACCACAAGTCTGATCTGGACAGCAAACTGAGTGGAGAGATGTCCTTGCCTCTTTGATTTCTGTCCTTAACGCTGGTGTGACTTCCAGTGTTTTTGCCTTGGAACTCTTCCAGTTTCTCTCTGTTCTTTATATAGAGAGACAAAAAGCAAGGAAGCACAGTTTCTGAATAAATAGAGATTTTTAACAGAGAATTTTGGGGTGGAATGAGTTCTTTCTGGTTATAGATATGCAACTTATCTCCTGGAAGTGGCACAGAGACTTTCACTTACCTTTCTTAAAAGCAATTGACAACAGGTACAACCTGTTAATCTCACAGGTTCCTGGGAAAAGGAAAGATTACTACATGGCAGAGTCTGGGTTTCTCAGTCCCCATTTAGTGGATTTTCCTGAGGGACTCCCATAACAGAGTGTAAAGGGCAGTATGACATTTGTCATCCCTACTCTATTCTATAAAAATATACTTGTTCTTTTAATTATCAGGATGTTGGGGGAATGTGACTTCTTTTCATTGGCTATCATTTTGAGCTAATGAAAGTTTGAATCCTTTTCTTTGTGTGTGTGTGTGTGTGTGTGTGCTCAGATTACAAAGAAAAGGGCTTCTCACAAACCAACTTATGAAAATTTACGGAAGAGTTTAGAAGCCATGAAGTCCCATTGTCTGAGAAATGGAGTCACCGACCTCTCCATGCCCAGGCAAGGAAATCCAGGTCCTTAGATGAAGATTTAATTGATTGGTGGGGTTTACTGTCTTACCCAAAGACAAACAACTTAAAAGCTTAACCCAAAATACAGCTCAGTTGGTTAGAGCATGGTATTGTAACACCAAGGTCAAGGGTTCAGATTCCTGTACTGGCCAGCTGCCAAATAAAAAAATAAATAAAAACTGGCCAGTTAAAAAAAAAAAAAAAATTCTGGCTAGTTAGCTCAGTTGGTTAGAGCCTGGTGCAGATAACACCAAGGTCCAGGGTTCGATCCCTGTTTCAGGCAGCAGCCAAAAAAAACCCCAAAAAATCAAAATACAGACTTAAAGGTGTACAAATTTCAAAATTTTCAGACACCAGTGAACCAGTTGTCTGACCTTAGGCCAGTACATAGCTATTTTCTAGCTTGAGTTGAATGAATCAGGATAATTAACTTGAAACACACACGTGCCTCAGCCTGCTTAATGGGGAGGAACCATTGTCATTCAGTCACATTTGTTGAATTCCCAATATCCTCTGCTTGAAGCTTTTCCTCTTTTCTAAAGCAGTGTAAACTAAAGGACCAAGACTGTGCATTTGTGATTTCCATTTTGGGCCACTTCTCGTCTCCCAAACCTGTTAATCCCAAGCCGGGAAAGTTGTGAAATATCACTGTCTTTTATACTGCATGCTTGTTTGTGGTCATTGCCAGTGGTTACTGGAGGATCTGTCCCTGATGTAACTTCTTGGACCCTAACTATTGGGAACTTAAGGGAATGATATGGGGCGTTCAATAGCCCTTTTACTTCCTTTACAAGAAAAAAGCCTCACTTCTTGTTACCCTAGTAGTTTGGAATCAATGCCGACTGTGCATGTAAGTTTATTCTAAGCCCCACATTACTTTGATAATTGGTCTTTAATATATTCATGGCTTATGTATCAGAAACTTTTTTTTTAAAATAACAATTCTTTAGAGACTTAATTGTCACATTATGATATGAAATTGGCAATTTTAAGCCTCTCTTTTTTTCCCTAGAGATGTTAAGGATCATTAAAGTAACATCTTGGAAGAAAGGTGCCAGGTAGTAGAGTTTTGTGGGCTGATTGAGGTTTCTCACCAGGATGTTGCAAAGATCTTGTTCCTGGATTGCAACCAGCCTCACATCTTCTAACATTCCCTCTTGACTTGCTTTTTGCAGAGATCCTGTCTCTTGCCTTGTCCTTTTTTTTTTTTTTTTTTTTTTTTTTTTTAAAGATGACCGGTAAGGGGATCTTAACCCTTGACTTGGTGTTGTCAGCACCACGCTCACCCAGTGAGCAAACCGGCCATCCCTATATAGGATCCGAACCCGTGGCCTTGGTGTTATCAGCACCGCACTCTCTCGAGTGAGCCACGGGGCCGGCCCTGTCCTTCTTTTTATCATTAACATTCCATTATCATAACTATATTTTTAAAATACCAACCTTTTCCTGTCCATTCACAGCCAGTTTTTTTTTTTTTTTCTTTTTAACTAGTAGACATGGATAGTGAGTCTCCCATGTCATGGCAGAGATGGTAGAGTTACACATTTCTAAATGTAGCATGAAATAATTGGACATTGGTACCTTATTAGGCAGAGAAGTGACAGCCGTTAGATGTTAGGGATGTCTAGGAATTGGGTGATTCACCACAAGAATTGACTTACAAACTCCCACCATGGCTCCTGTAGATGTGAGACTAGATAACTTGTCTTTGTGCTTTGGGTGGATACAGCCTAAAGGAAGAGGGAAAGAGCAATTTCCTAGGTACCTTCATCACAACCAACAGAGATTTCTTTTTTTTTTTTTTTTTTTCCCTTTCAGGATTGGATGTGGTCTTGATCGTCTGCAGTGGGAAAATGTATCTGCAATGATCGAGGAGGTATTTGAAGCAACAGACATCAAAATTACTGTGTACACACTCTGAACAGATGAACATTTTGGATGTGTCCATGTTCTCCTGTGTCATTCCTACTGGGCCATAGGGACTGGGCAAACCAGCCTTAAAATGGGCAGAGGAAAATTTCATGTGAAGTAGTCCGTGTTGCAGGCCAGACTTGGGTTGTTGTATTCCAGTATTTGGACTGGGACTCTGGAGGAGGGATTACTTGGGATATGTTGCTGTGTTTTGTCAGGAAGGTAAGGAGTGGGTGGCCTGATATTCGGCAGGGAAACCAGATTGTTGGGCCTATGACTATCTCTGTTTTGCTCCAGTATGCTGCCTGATTTGTCTGTCTGGCCACTAGGTGGCAGCATTGATTCTTTCTCTGCTTTTTAAGAGAAATTTCGGGAGGGATGGTCATTTCATTTAGTTTGGCATCTTTTGTTGTTTGTCCACTTAACTTGCTGTTATTCTTATGTCATCAGATTCATCCTAGGAGAGAGTTAGGGGTTATTCTATTTTGTTTAATTACAGAGTTGAGTTCTACATTGTTAAAGAATTTGTGGTGACGAAAATGAAAAAATAAATTTTTTTCATGAGGTTCTGTGCTCATATCTGTGTTGTTCTGGACTTGGGTAATGGAGGGTTATCTGTAACTTAATTTCAAAAAGTCAGAGGGTCCAGTGAGAAGAGTAGCAAGGTGAGAAATAAAAACTAAGAATGGACAAGAACTATGGATGAACAAAGTCAAAAGGCAGGTTTTTAGAATCGTATCATAGTGAACTCTTCCTCTCCTGTCCAGTGCATAGTCTCTGGGATTGAACCTGTCTGAATTTAATCATGAAGCAAATGAAATAATATATTTTCTAAGACTGGCAGAGTGCTTAGCATGAAGTAGTGACTCAAATCAGTGATTCTCAACAAAATCCATACATATCTTCTTAAATAAAGGCCACTTTCTCTCAAAAAATTCTAATTTGCTGGCAGGGTGGGGTGCTTTGTGGTTTTAATCTCCGTAGAAGATTCCGATACATAGCCAACTTGGATCTCTAGGATGCTGTAGTAAAAGCTAGGAGGACAATTCCTATCTTGTTTTTATGGTGAAAGAATAAGATTTAATGCATAGATTTAACCAGTGGTTTCGTATCAGAGCTATTGGGGAAACCGGGCATTTGCTTTTTTCCCCTTACTAGGGTGTTGAGAGTTGAAACAGGCAGATTTGCTATTAGTTTTTTCCTTAGAGTGAACTCTGGGTCTGTCACAGAACTTTCTGCTTTCCCAAGTGTAAAAGAACAAGTGGGTTTTAGAAGGGGCTTGTGGATACACCAGGAAAGCACTGGTTAAATATAATCTTCGTACTTTAGACTTGCATTCTTATCACATTTCAGCCTGATAAGAGGCAGCAGTTTCAAAAAGTATTTCACTTTTGTGTGTCTGTGTGGAACAGACAAGTTCTCCATGTTGATGGGGTAGAGGGAGTGTAGGGACAAATTCATTATCAAACTTTTAGACTGAGGCTTTTCTTGAAGATTTGCTAATGTCCACATAAAATTGAAGGGAATAAAGGAAGAAGAGAATGTCTAAATACATGAAATTGAAAATGAGAGTAGGGTAATAAGAAAGTTTAAATAATTAAAGTGTTTTGCTTAACTCTATGCAAATAAATCTTAACACTCAGGTCAAAACACTGGTTTTCTAGGCTTCTACTTTTAAAAGAGATTATGGTTAATTTTTTTCATGGACTGCGAGCCTTGATTCTCTTAACAAAACCTAGTCTCATCCAGGATTGGATGTAAGTGGAATTCTGGGACTCAGCAGGGATGTGATAAAGTGCTTTGTCATTTGCAGATAGTCTTGGGTCAAATTCCGAAGACTTATCACAGTTGTAGCCTGGGGAAAGGAGGCATGGCCTGATAATCAGAATGAACACATTATTCCTGGAAACCTAGTTAGAGTCTGGCAAACACCCAGAAATTTACATGTTAAATTTTGTACACATAGGACTCAAACATTTTAAGAAATGAGACTTTCATTGAGGTTGTCTCAAAGTAAGAAAAAGAAATGAGACTTTTGACATTATCATTAAGTACCACTTGTTGAATACTCTTTTTTTGTCTTTTTTTTGAGACCGACCGCACCGTGCTCAGCCAGTGAGCGCTGTGAGCGCACCAGTCATCCCTATATAGGATCCGAACCCGCAGCGGAAGCGCTGCTGCGCTCCCAGCACCGCACTCTGCCGAGTGTGCCACGGGCTCGGCCCTGAACTCCTACTTTTCACCTCTTCTTTAATCAAGAAGCTAATTGCTTATTGGCAATTGGGATATGGATACCTTGTGACAGATTTCCTGTGCTTTTTATTCCACCCTCTGCCATGTTCCTTGTCTTCAGAGAAGGAAAAGGCCCTCATTTATAAATAACCTCATAAGAAAATATTTTAAGAAGGTCAAGACCATGGTGGGAAGTCTGCATGGGAGAGTTAGTTTCCTATTGTCTATACTAGTCTTGGTTTAATCTTTCCTCCCCCTTTATGATGTCATGAGTTTGTGCATAGCCTGGTACATCCCTGTGTCTGGGACTCATTCATTTTAACTTCCAGATGTCCAAATTCCTTTAAAAAAAAACCCGACCACAGAAAATACACACCACTTCTTTTATTAATGTTGTTTTTCTTTTAAAAAAAAAATAGAAACCCAACTTAACATAAAGGGCATTTCTGGACATATTTCAAAGATCTGTACCTTGGGTCTGAGGTTTTTTGTCTTAAGCAGCCTTTTTGGGGGAGTAATTAGGACCTTTTGCCGCACAAATGCCTGGTGCCCATATATGGTTGCATTTCTCTCCTTGCAGCTCACTTTTCTCTTTCCTAAGAGCAGCCTTAGGGAGAGAGACACACACCAAAATGAATTGTAGCATGAGAGGTGTATTTCGAGTCCTCTGAGCCTTGTCCAGTAGGATTGGTTGGTGCCGAATGTTGTCCAGTTCTGAGTGGTATTAGGAAGACAGGCATGTCCCAAATGGCCATACATGTCTGCTGTCTCTTGGTGGCAGCAGGCAGACCTTGGTGGAAAAACAGAAAGCATATTACTGAGAACCCTGCTGGCTCCTAACAGTTGTGAGTTTCTTTTTGAGCTAAGGTTTCTGTGTGTCTTTCCCAGGTTCCTGAATTTCTCCTCCGTAGTCTCCTCTGGTTTCTGGTTTACCCAGCATTGAGTTCACATTTTGGTGTGGTTCACATAAAGACCTAGAAGAGATCTGCTTTAACTTTGTTATAGGCATATAACTACTAACTACTATAGGCGTTAAACACTATTCTGTCATTTATCTAAAAACAAAAGATGAAATAAGAAATATGAGGCAAATTTTATTTAACAAATGTTTATTTCTTGGGATTGTTTTAATTAAGCAGGGTTGTTCTTTTGGGCTTTTATTTTCCTATTTTTTGGTGACTAGCTAGTGTGGAGATCTGAACCCTTGACCTTGGTGTTTTAATACCATGCTCTAACCAACTGAGCTAACTGGCCAGCCCTGGGCTTTTAGATTACAACTATTTTATGCCAATTTTTTTTTTTTTTTAACTTGGTACATTTTAACCTTTCCCTTCAGGAACACGAGCAACTCAGAGGACAGGGAAGCATGTTAATGGGTACAGATAATACAGTTATGTACACAAATGGAAGGAGGACTATAATGTGCAAAATGTTCAATAATGTTTTATTTAAAAATAATCTTAGAAATGGACTTCCCCCTCAAACTGATTTATTCCTTTTACTTCTGTTTAGATTAGTATAAAATAAATACTCAATTATCTAAAATTAAAAGACCTTTTTAATCCTTGAAATGCTTAATTTTTTTTTTTTTCCTTTTTGTCTTTTTTACTGACTGGTAACGGGATCACAACCTTCGGTGTCGCGCCCGTACCAGGGACCGGCAACGGGATCGCAACCCTTGGAGTTGCGCCCGCACCACGCTCAGCCAGTGAGCGGGAACCGGTCTCCACATGGGATCCGAACCCTCAGCGGGAGCGCCACCACACTCCCAAGTGGCACACTCTCCAGTGTGCCACCGGGCCGGCCCAAATCTGAATACACAGTTTTCTTTTCTTTTCTTTTTTTTTTTTTTGTCCTTTTTGAGACCTGCTACACAGCGCTCAGCCAGTGAGCGCACCGGCCATCCCTGGATCCGAACCCGCAGCGGGAGTGCTGCTGCGCTCCCAGCGCCGCACTCTCCCGAGTGCACCACGGGGCTCGGCCCGAAATGCTTAATTTTAATGGAAAAAAATAAATCCCCGAGGCCTTGCTAGTGAGGCAGCTGGAAGAAGTAGCCCATGACTCTGGAAGAAGTTAAGAAGAAAGTATTCTGGGGTTAAAATTAAGTTACCAGTTATCATTCTGTGAAATCTATGTTGGGTTTATAATTTCAGTGATAGCATCTAAACTAACAATCTCTTCAAGGAATTTTAAAAGTTCGGTTTTGTATTTCCAAAGGTCATCCTCAGAAATCTGTTTTTACTACTTACCACCACCACCCAGAGTGATGTCTTATTTTATGAGAGCAGATTTCCACATGGTATCTACCATATTCTCATGAATTCAATGACCAGGTCCTGCTTTTTGTAAAAAAGGGCTGAAAATTGTGTCTTCATGTGTTGGTGAAAGCTTAGCTTGAGGATGGTCGGGCACCCTTTGTGCCTGTGTTATTGAAAACACCTGCCAACATCAAGCTTCAGAACACTGATATTTCCTAAATGTGCCTATGAAGTGACATATTCTCTTAAGGGTATTAGGACACCAAAAATAAATTGAATATCTTCATGGAAGCATGTAGCTTTCATGTTTCATTAATATGTGAGCTGTTCAGAATTAAAGTTGGATAAGAGGGTGGTGAAGACTTCTCTTTTACTGGAGGGCTTTGTAAAAGGGCTTAATCATGGCATTTCTGTGGGAGCAAACTAAATCAGACCAAATTCAAAAAAAGATATTAAGGGATCCTTCATCCTCTTTCCTAAGTATAACTGGCTTGTTTCTGTAAAAGTCTAATTTACCCTCAGCAAGAGGTCAAATTGGCTTTAATTGTGTCCTAATTATTTGCTTAAATATCTAATCTTTTACTTTGGGTTCTCCTATCAGCTCTTGATATCTGTGAAGGCTACTTCTGAACTGCTGCCTAATTTACAAACATCTTTTTAACCCTTTAAACATTCCTGCATAGACTAGCTTGCTATATTATCTCTATTCCTGCATTGAGCATTTTTCATGAGTTCTGCTGAGGTCTTTTCAGCATAAGGAAAATATTCTTGCATTATACATTCATACAGCAATTACTGGTCTCCCTCAAAGCATAACAATTTGTTTGAAAACATGAAAGCAGTTCTGGCCCCCAAAAACTTGAATACAAATCCATTTGGGGAATTTCAAAATTACAAAAAATGAAAAAATTGTCCCTGAAGGAATGAAAAACCTGCATTAGAGAAAAATGGAATTGTAAGCTTGCAAATGTGGATGGGAACAGGGCATCTAGAAGGTAGGTGTCCACAGGAAGTCTGGACACAGGTATGTGGAGGCATGCTTAGGGGGTTTAAATATCTTCTCTGCTGTTGCTTATTAACAGGTCCTTGTAACATCTAAATCTTACCAAAGAAGGTCATTCTTTCTCATTAAAGCTTTAGCATCCTTGTCAACTTTGAGTATTCCTAGTTACAGGGAAGTTAGTTTGATATAAAAGGGTGGGAGGAAAAAGTTTAGGGAGAGGGATTCAGAGGAAAGAATGAGACAGGATGTTCTAAAATGTTTTTACAGCCAACCAAAGGCAGAAAAATGAAATCCTTCCAAAGACAAATGTTATACCACTCATTCTACCTAACCTCAAGCCTTCTACCCAAGTTAGCAGATAATAATATTGAGTGATGGCACAAGGAAAACTCACATGAGTCCCAGCCCAGTCGCCTACTTCAGGATATCTGCCAACTTCTCATCATAATATAGGAAGTTCTCCTGAATGTCCTCCCAGGGTTCAAAGGCCTTGGATTCACCTTCTTCTTGCTCCACAAAATTCTGCCAGATGTACTCGAAGTCCTGGGGCTTCATGATGCGCAGTTTGCAGCCAGCCTCCTTCAGCTTCTTCAGAGCAGCCTGGATCTCCGGCTCCTCCCACATGAAGAGTCGCCCCACCAGAATGAGCAGGTGCAGATTCTTGCTCTTGCTAAGGGTCTTGATAATGCGGTCAGCGCAAGCTGCACAGGGGCTGGAGGACACATACCAGGTAACATTGTACCTCAGGGCTGGGTCGAAGGTTGGCAGGATGGTGTTGAAGAAGGCTTCCTCCGCATGGGCAGCTGCATGCTCATCCTCTAGGTATCCCCGAGATGCTTGCACTTGGCCTCCCTTACCCTGCACTTCAACTACATAGCAAAGGAAGGTTTTGTTCCGCCCGGAACTGTACTCCACATTCCGGAACTGAAACTTAAAGAAGTTGACAGGTAACCGCTCCCTGAAGATCAAGGAGACAAAAGGACAGAAGGAAAGAGGGAGTGATGAGTTCTTGTTTGTAGGACCAGCCTGGAGTAGGTAGCTCTCCAAGAGCAGTACCTCAGAGACATATTCACTCTTAACTATAAATAGGCCTTGCTTACGCTAATGTCAATGATAAAAAGGCTTGAAAGAATCAGAAGGGTTTATCTGGAAAGGAGAGAGAATTTGGATTGGGGTGTGCATTCTGGTCACCCCATTAGGGTCTCTAAACACTGTTTTCACTATCACTCCCAACACAGCACACCCCTGTGTTTCTAAATCAGTGAATATTTAACCTGGGTATAGCTTAGAATCCAAGTAGAGGACTCTAAAAGTGTCAGTGCCTGGGTCCCACGGTAAACCAATTAAATCAGAAAGTCTGGAGAGGGGGCCCAGGCATCAGTAGTTTTGAAAAGCTCTCTGGATGATTTTAATATGTGGCCAGGATTGAAACGTAGTGTTCAAATAGCAATTTTACAAAGTAGCATGCATGTAAGGTTTCTCATGAAGTAGCAAGACAGATTTTGCAAAACATTTCATGCTTTCATTCCTGCTCATTGAAACTCCTGTAAGTTGCATCTTGGGCATGGAATGGCCTAAGGCTTGTATGTAGTACCATGCTCTCCTAGTGACTGTTTTTCAAGTCTGTCTTTTCCGTCAGGTTAAAGGATTGTCATATGGTAAGTCTCCAAGAACTTTTTATCTGTGAGGCCAGACTACCCAGAAGTACCTTGGGATAATTAAGCTTGTGTATGATATTGAGTCACTTCAGAATCTTAAAAGATTAGGCCTTTGCTCTCCAGATGTATATAATCTAGCAGCTAGATTCTAGTTTGACAGAGAAGGTGTAGATAAGATAGCTGAGAACATTAGAAGATTGCTAAGAATGGGTAGGTAAAGTAGAGGACACATTAAGATTCTTGAAAGTTTAGCCTTGATTCAGGAGGCAGTAGAGAATTGTTATAGGTTCTTGAACAGTAGAAAAGCATAATAAAAGTGATGTCCACAGATGATTACTGTGGTGGCAATAGGCAGGTGGAGAGAAGCTGGGGAAAAACCAGAAATTAAAAAAGGATACCAGTCTTAGTGATGAACAGTGTAGGTTTCCAGTGGCTTCAAGGAGAACATGGATAATTAGGAAATGAAGCCAGCAGGAAAAGGTCAGGTTTTTTTGAAAAGTTTGGTAGTAATAACAGAGAGAGAAAAGGAATGGGCATCAGAGTTGAAGATTGTTTTTATTTTTATGTGCATATGTGTTTTTCTGAAATAAGGAAGATCTGTGCAGGTTTGAAGGCCAAGGAAAATAAGGAGGTTGGCGGGGGGGGGGGGGGGGTTGTCTTTTTTTGTGACCGGCAAGGGGATCGCAACCCTTAGCTTGGTGTCGTCTGCACCGCGCTCAGCCAATGAGTGCACCGGCCATCCCTATATAGGATCTGAACCTGCAGCGGGAGCGCCGCTGCGCTCCCAGCGCTGCACTCTCCCAAGTGCGCCACGGGGCCGGCCCAGGAGGTTTTAATAGAGATTGAAAATGTCAGAAGGAGAGGAGGGGATGAGCACCACCTAGAAAGGCTGAGTGTTATCCTTTTTAAAAAAGTTATCTCTGCGGCTGTCCCAGAAGATACCCTGTGGCACCATTAACTCCGATACGGCCTGTCTCCACCTCTTCCACCACCTAGAAAGGCTGAGTGTTATCCTTTTTAAAAAAGTTATCTCTGTGGCTGTCCCAGAAGATACCCTGTGGCACCATTAACTCCGATACGGCCTGTCTCCACCTCTTCTATTTCCCCCCCGAGAGGTCACAAGACTCCCTGGGCTGCAGGGGAATCCCTGGTGTACAGGGCCTTGGCTGCTTAGGGAAAAGCAGCAGATGCCAAAGATCTGAGTGAAGTTGACTTATTTCCCTGCAGGATTCCCCCCACCCCCACCCCTGCCTGTCACCAAATTTTCTCCACCCACGTTCCCATGTCTCTTGCTGTCAAGTTAAGTTTCCACTGTGGAGACAGATGTGTTTGAGGACCCAGCCCTAGGATTCCTTTGGGTACTATACTTAGCTCTCTAAGCTCCTCAGTCCCTGGTTGGAGGTGTTTATTATTTACTTAACATTTTAGAAGAATGGATTGTCTGATGTTTCCCCTCTCCTCTTTCGATCCCTGCTGGGAAGTCACTTACAGTGAGCTCTCCCTAATTACACCCACCCCACCAGACCAGTTCTTAATTCTGCCATTGCTAAATGGTCTCTTCACTCCCTGGAGTGGCTTTTTAATTCTGAGAGCATGTAGATTACTTTTCTTGTCTAAACCCTTTTTTGCTCTTCAAGTCCTTTTGCCAGACTACCACCCTCCCCAAGTTCAATCTCTAGCCACCTACATGATGAATTCTCAGATGGAAACTTTAGAAGTATTCATGGTTACTTGGTTGGCTTGGGGGTTTCAGCAGTAGCTGCTGTGTGGTCCCTCAGATTTCTTTCTGGAATGCCCAAAAGCATTGCCCTAACTTTTCCAAGTATAGCCCAGCTAAGAGTATGAATTTGGCCCAGCAAGCAGTGGCAAGTTGGTTGGATGGTTACGAAATGTCTGCTTCTCTCAGTCCCTCTTAAGCTCTGACATTTTCCCCTCCCCCTCTTCCCTAGGCAAGAGGAAAGGACCCAGAGAAACCTGAAACCCAAGGGAGAGGAAGAAAGGTTACCTCGCTATAAATATCCATTTTGGACCCTTCTAGGCAGCAACCCCAGAGTCTACTCTGTCCCTCAGAAGGCCCTTCTGGATTAGGTTCTTCAGGAAGAGAAATGCTTTCAAGGGGCAAAGGAAAGACAGGGAAGGTTTGGCTCCCAGTGTTTCCTTTGGGCTAGCTCAGAGACTGAGCTTCCTTGGCTTCTCAATGGGCTTCTTGGTCTTCTAAAAGGAGCATTAAGGTCAAATGAGGTTCTTTGGGCCTCCCACAGACTGAAACAGTCAGATACTGGAGGAAAGGTGGTAGAGGTTTAAAATTTTTTCAGGGAGCTAGACAACATGGCCATCTCAGGTGATTTTGTAGACTCACAAAATATGTCCACACCATTATGCCCACTAGTGGAAGGAAGGAAATAGTGACACGAACTTCTTTGATAATCACAAACATTATTTTTGTCAAGTAGTGTGATATGCCTAAATACCATATTTACTTACAGCCCTTTACTTTTAACCTCAGCAAATATTTTACTGCTAAAGGTGTGTGTGTGTGTGTGTGTGTGTGTGTGTGTGTGTGTGTGTGTACACGTGTGTTGTAATGATAGCAAATATTTTACTGCTAAAGGTGTGTGTGTGTGTGTGTGTGTGTGTGTGTGTGTGTGTGTGTGTGTGTGTACACGTGTGTTGTAATGATGGTCAGGAAAGAGATACTGGTAGTAGATTCTCTTCCCCCAGATCCATGGTCAGGAAAGAGATACTGGTAGTAGATTCTCTTCCCCCAGATCCAGTCACTTCTTCAGGCATAGAAACGAGCAGCGTGATTCTTATTCCCTCCCCTCAGCCTCAGATAGCACCTCTTTAAGAACTACTTCCTCATACTTTCTGCAAACAAGGCCAGTCACGCTTTATCTGCTTAAATCCAGGCTACTGAACATTGCAGTTCTCTAGGGAGGAAACCAAGAATCCAAATATCTAGAAAAAATTGGGAAGATGATCTGTTTGATGAAGGGAGTAGGGATGTGAGTAAATGTAATAAATATTTTTCTCAGATTCACATTAAAAAACATTTGCATTTCTTAAGTATAAATCTATACCTGAAGGGCAGTAGAAGCTGGTTTGAGATTAAACATTTGCTCTAAAATAATCCATAGAGTGGAAAATCTACTCACAGGTAATTGAGTGTTGACTTGTTTCAGCTTTCCCTCACTAGACCTTTCAGTGACCTGCTTGAAAGAGGCAGAATTGCCAGTTTCATTGGCCTTCTTTTTCAGACCACTTTCAAAGTGGATGCCAAAAGTGGGCATAGTCAGAAGTAGAATAGGGCAAAAACAGAGGGTTCTAACAGCCTGTGCTTCCTAGAGCTGAGAAGGGAGCTGCAGACTGCAGGACTAGGTGGCAAGCCCTGAGCCTGCCCCTTTTCTTTGGGAGGCATGTCCTCACAAGGAATTTTGACCTCCCACCAACCCTCAGTGGAGGCTAGCATGGCAAGAGTCAGTGGGCTGTCTTCTGTTCTTTATAGAACACCTCCCAGCATGTTCCACAATCCAGGGTGAGGTGCTTGTGGCATTAACAGTGTTGTCAAAGACCCCTCCTTGCCTCTCCATTCTCCTCTGGACCCTGCCACTTCTATCTGTGTTCCTTATTGTCCAGAGTAAAGATGTGGTTGAAAGAATAATCACTCTGCCATCTATCTCTGTTCTGTAATAATCCCTTTGATAACAGGTCCCACTTTATACAAAAACATATACGAAACTAGAGACAGAAAAACACACATCAAAAGTGCTGCCAGGCAGAGCCAAAGTCACTCCAGTGTGTTAAAGAGATGAGGAGACAACCAGCCCCAGCTCCCCAGAGCTTCCCTAAAGGGTACTGCGTTCAGAGGCATGCACGATGAGCCAGGAGAATTCTCATCTAAGTCTAGCTAGCACTCGGTCTTCATATATCTTAAGCCTCTGTCCTCAAGAAGCCCTCCCCCAGTTCACTCCCTATTCTCATGTCTGGCAGAGGGCCTAACAACCAATAGGTGCTCATTCATTAGTTCATTCACTTACTGAACAAATACTTATTGAGTACCTATTAGGAGCTAGGTGCTAGGGACAAATCAGTGAAAAAGACAAAGTCCCTGTCCTCATGGAGGTTAAAAACTGAAGGAGGAAGCAGGCAGTAAATGAACAATTCCTATTCAGTAAATATTTGTGAGTATAAAAAGAACCTTCCATGGTTTTTTGGATGTAATGTGGTGATTTGGAGTCAGACAGTCCTGGGCTCATGCCCTACTCCATCTGCTAGCTTTGGGCAAGTTACTTATCCCTCTGAGGTTTAGTTTCCTCCTCTAAAGATAGAGCAAGGAATTCACCCTCTCAGATTTTAGACAATGGTAGTCATACAGTAAATTAAAGCTAGCATTGATGGATGGTGCCTTTTCCAGGCCTCAAATTGTATCCTTCAGAGCTCCACCTTAAGCATTAGCAAGCCTGATCCCTTCTCCACTCCTTTTCTCACTTTCAGAGGTTTCTCTCGGTGGCGGTGACATACTGGTAAGTGTTTAACCCCCAGCTCTCTGAAAGAAAGAAAATAAAGTCCCCAGTTTTTAATGTTTGCTGATTTCTGTAACATAAATACTCCCACTGTGGGAGGTACATGATGACACTGAACGCAGAGTTGAGGAGAGAGGCACACAATTGACTCTCAGGCCAATATGAGCTAGGTTCAGCACACCAGTGCAGCTCCAGGCCTTTCCCAGCACTTTCCCCTATGGTATTTTTTTTTAACGTGCTTAGGTCTGCTTTCTATCCTGAGTGCCCTATTCAACCAGAATCACTATAAGCGGCACTTATTTCTTCTTCTTCTGCCAGGTGCTCCCCCTTCGCTAGTTCTTCTGCTAGTTTTCAGCCCCAATATAAGGAGCACTATGGATCCAATTCCTGTAAGAGTCCAAGCTAGGAAAAGAGCTGCTTTGATGATTCCTTTGACTCCATGGCATCTGGAAAGGGGAGAGGAAAGCTGTTCCCTCACCCAGTCCCTGCACAGACACAGCCACACCTCTGGGCTATTTTAAGCCATCTGTTTACCGGAGGGCCGGGAGACAGATCTCCGCAGCTGTTACTAGTGGCCAGGAAACACTCAGGGCTCCTCCTCCCACCTGAACTGTGTCAGAGCGCTCAGAGGGCCGCCCAAATGTGCCTCTTTCGGAGCCTTGTGTCATGGGAAAACTCTGACCCTCACTACCTTGCAGATGGAGATACGTGGAGCTCTGTTTGGGAAACCTGGGATCCAGAATGAGTAGGAGACCAGTGGAAAGGACACTTTACTGGGAGTCAGAAGACCTGCCACTTACTGTTTCTGTGATTTTGGACATATCACTAAATCTCCTTGGGTCTCAGTTTCCTCATCTGTAAAGTGTTTATAATATATATCTCTCGTAGCATTGTGTTGAGGGCTGAATGAGCTCATGCATGTATATTGGGATTATAAAGTCCTTGACAAATGTAAGTTACATCAGAGGACTTAAACCTTCAGGACCCACTGACCTGAGACTCCAGAAAATGTTCAACTCAACAAACATAGTCTAATTCTGTTCTTGACCAACCTTACCCCTGTGCTGGGGAGATCACAACACTGCATAGAGTGTGTGCACATGTGTGTGTGTGTGTGTGAGACCAAGGACCTCATGGACCAGCATGCTTAGGTGTTAGAAAAAGTATCTTCTTCCATAGGAGAGCCACTGGAATTGAGGACTCTCCTGGCCTGATTGCCCTAGGCTTTTCCCCATGTCTGTATTAATCTGTGCCAAGCTGCTCCCTTGATCTAGGATGAGGGTGAGATCAGTTGGTGGATGTGGGCAAACAGAAGTTCAGGGGCCACTCATGCCTTAGAAACTAGGACGCATTTTCCCTTAGGTTCTCTTAGAAGTCAGAAAATATCTGAGCTGGAAGGGACCTTAGGTATTGACTAGTGGCAGTTTCATCATGTTATAAATAATAAAACAGGCCAGGACTGGAAAATCAGTTGCCAAGCTTAAACAGCAAGTTCAAATTGCCCTCCCCCTTGAGGGCATTATGCCTTCAGTCTTCCTGAAACTTCTGTTTGTGTGGTGTCTACTCTGACTATGGGCATTGCTGGAGACCCCCATGAAGGAAACCTTGGGTTCAGGGAGGAAATCTGGCTCTGTGTATTGCCTTATTCTTTGCATGGGGATTTAGTAGGGACTTCCATTATAGGAATAGAGAGGGAAGAGGGAGGAGGAAGACTACTTGGTCTTATTCCTGGAGATGGCATAGTCTGGACAAGACAGAGGGACCCTCTATGCAGCCCCTACTTTGGAGTCTCTAGACCCTCTTCTCTGGGCTCTAGTTTCACCAAGATGTGGCTGAAGGTCTTGGAACAGCTCCTCTGTCTGTAAGCTCCTGGCCTGTTATCGGCTTCTCTGTTTCACTAGGGAGGGGTGGTGGTGGTGGTGGTGGTATGAATAGCCTCTGAGGAGACTCAAAAAAGATTCACTAAGAAAAAAACTGCTTCTCACTCAGCCATGGAAAGGATGGATCTGTCTTTTCTTCCTTCTACTCCAGAGAGAAGCCATAAAGAAAGGGCTAGAGACATGCAGATAGAGGGGAGACCCACTCAGAAGCAGAGAGAGAAGTTGAGGGAAGGGGCTGCTTTGACAAGGGCCATATTTAAATATGCCAGTCTCATCTTCTGTCCTCACCAAACTCTCTGGAAGTAAACCTTTACCCAGAGAGGCAGTACAGTCTCAGTACCCGAGGGGCGGTTTCTTCATCTGAGTCCTTGCCTCCAAGGACCTACCTCCCCTTGATCAGAGAGTCTGCGAGATTTGTTGCTGTGTCCCCTGCCAATCCTGCCATGCACACAGTTGCACTCTCACAGCTGCAGGGTTGTGGCTGACCTTGACCTACTGTTATCATGCTGAATTTCCACACCCTGCCCCAAACCTGCACTCTTCTAGCGGGAAGGACCCCGGCCCACGTCTGAGTCTCACCCCTTGACGATCTCAAAGGGTGGTAGCTCAATCAGCTCCTTCAGCTTCTCTGGGTCGTCCAGGTTCTCCAGATCCTCCCCATTCTGGGAGGCAGGTGCAGCGGCTGTAGTGCCTTCAGTGGCTGCAGCGGCCTCTTCTTTCTGGGCCATGGAGGGGCTATGGCTCAGGATGGGTCGTCCAGGTTCTCCAGATCCTCCCCATTCTGGGAGGCAGGTGCAGCGGCTGCAGTGCCTTCAGTGGCTGCAGCGGCCTCTTCTTTCTGGGCCATGGAGGGGCTATGGCTCAGGAGTCACTGAGAGGAGAGGTGGCGGGTCTGGGCCAGGCCCTGGCGGCAGACTCCCAAGCAGCTGTCAGCAGCTAAATCTGGCTGGTGGGGGACGGGAAGAAAACCCACAGGCCGGGCTTTGTGCTCTCACCCCTCAGCCACAAGCTTTATAACCAAGGCTGCCTGCCCCTCCCCCAGGCCCTCTCCCTCTATCTTTTTTTAATTGAGTGACGGCGGGTGCTGGGTTGGGGGAATGGAAAATCTGGCCATTAGGATCCCCTATTTATCAGTAGGCAAAGACAGGAAACTGGCAGCTGGCGATGACTTGGCCTGCTCTTTTCCTCCTCTCCCTCCTCTCTCACCTTATCTTCTCCCTTTTGTTTCCCACCCAACTTAACTAGTTTCATGGAGTAGAGGGTGAGGATGGGGGGAGAGGGGCGTGGAACACCGGGTGCGCAGGCATACTGAGATTTAGGAGAGAAGCCCGCTTAGAGTTTTAAGCAGGACGAAGCGTGTGTAGAAGGGGGTAGTTGTAAAGAGATCTAGGCCATTTCTGTTGGGGGAACTTGGGGTCAAGAAAGGAGAGTCCTCAGCAGGGCTGAGATAAAAACTGGCAATTTGGGAAGAAAGTGTGTGAATTGTGACTCAAAGAGAGGGGATGCTCATTTGCTTGTTATGAACCCATAATGCAATGTCAACTTGACTAGGAACCTCCAGTAGTAACAATAGCTGGCATTTACTAAACTTAGAATTTTTGTAATGGGCCAGACAGTAAGTTTAGTGTATTTAATGTGAAATCAGACAGTGCTCTAAACAGCCCTGGGAGGCAATGTGTATTATCCTCATGTAACACACTGGGAAACAGACTCAGAAAAAGATTAAGGGCCTTGCCCAAGGTCATATAGCTTGTAAGTGGCAGAGTCAGGATTAAAACCCAGACTGTTTTATTCCAGAGGTTAAACATTCGACTTCTATACTGTTTTCTCACAGTCAGTTCTTTATTCCTTTGACAAATATTTACTGAGCATCTACCCCATGCCAGGTACTGTTTCAGGTACTGGGAATATAACAAAGAACAAAGCAAATGAAAATCCCTGCCCTCTTGGAGTCAGTTCTTTATTCCTTTGACAAATATTTACTGAGCATCTACCCCATGCCAGGTGCTGTTTCAGGTACTGGGAATATAACAAAGAACAAAGCAAATGAAAATCCCTGCCCTCTTGGAGCGTGAGGGAGGTGGATGATGAATAGGGAAAGTATATGATCTATTTGGCGTAGATGAGTGCTAAGGAGAAAAGGCAGGGAAGGGGAACAGAAAGTGTCTAGGTGTGGGCTTACATTTTTATAGAGTGGCCAGGGAAGGGCTTTGAAAAGGAGATAACTGAGAAAAGATATGAAGGAGGCAAGGGAACTAATAATATAGAATTCTAAGGGGAAAGTATTCCAAGAGGGAACAGCAGGTGCAAAGGCCCTGAGATGGGAGCATTCCTGGTGTGTTTGAAGAACTAGCAAGGGCAGTCGTGTGGCTGGAGAGATAAGAAGGGCTAAAGAGGCTGGGGCCTTGTGGGCTATTCTAAGGACCTTGGCTTTTTCTCTGAGAAGGGAAGCCTGTCTCTGAATGGATGAGACATGTGGTCTGACTTTTATTTATACAGGAGCACCCGAGGAGTAGAAGCAGGGGGACCAATTAGAAGTCTATGAAAATTAGAGAAAGAAGACTGAGGCTGCTAGGAAAGCCCCTGAGCTGGAAGAGCAGCAGAGAACGGCTGGGTGGTTTTTGCAGCTCACATGATGGGTGCTTAGCAGGGGCCCCACATCTTCATGTTCAGGGCAGCACTAACACATTAGGACATTCTCAGGGAAATGGAAAGGAGGAGTAAGGGTCACCCAGAGGTTGAAAATGAGGGACCTAAGAACACTGGGGAACTGGCCTAAAAATGGCTCTACATGGGGTTAGATGGTGGGGATGTGAAGGCAGGGCACCCTTTCCAGAGTCTGATGAGATTAGGGGAATCATAATAGTTTGGAGGATTTGGGGCTCCCTCCTCCAGAGAGTTCTGATCAGAACAGTGCTTGGTTAGTAGATGTCCAGGACTTTAGTTTGCCCAGGGTGGTCATGGTTTCTCCCTGTTGTCCAGGCATAATTACTAATAGGACCCCTTTCACTCCCAAAAGTGTCCAAGTGTAGACAATAAATTATAAGGTCATCCTACCTATTAGATTTACTAAAAGCATTCTTGTAGGGAGATTATTTTTTTAGACCTTTTTCCAGGGGAATAAAGCACAGGGTATTGGTAATAGTGCATGTGTCCACAAGGAAAAGGCAGTGAAGGCTGATGAATAGCAAAGGAAGTTTATTATCACACAAACATACAATATTTAAATTCAAAGAGTTTACTTCATTCTTTTACTTAATCAACACTTATCAGGGCTCCTATGTGCCAGGTGCTATATAAATACCAAGAATACAGAGATGAATAAGGCACTACCTCACCAGGAGCTCACAGTCTTTATTACATTTGAGACATTAATTAGGCATTCAAGCATGCTTTATCTCATTTAGTCCTCAGCAATCTCAAACGGGTGTGAATTACTGGCCTCATTTTGCAAGTTAGGGACCTGTGGTCTAGAAAGCTGAAGTGACCTGTAGAAGATCACACAAGGATTCAAGTTCAGGTCTTCTGGGCCTGAGTTTAGTCTGATTTCCAGGGCCACACCCAGCTACCTCTGATTAAACATGTCTAAAGCATTATAAATGTGCATCTCTCCCCCACCTCCCTGGCACAGCTACAGTGATGTGCTTGGGTCAACTGAGGAAGAGTAAAATGTCTCAGGGAGAAGTGAGGAGAATTTACTCTGTGGGAAAGGCTTCCTCCCTAGGGTCAAGTTCTTATATTTTAGTTGTCATTTATAACCCTGAATTAGGAGGCCAAAAAAAAAAAAAATAAATTCCATGTTTCTATCCCCATCTCAGCCCGATTTACTGTGTGATCTCGGCCAAATCACTTAACGTCTCTGAGCCTCAGTTTTCCTGCCTGTGACACAGGGTGAGCTGTTGCTCTCTATTCTAGGATGGTCAAAGGGATAAAAATGAAGGAGCAGGCTGTGCCTGCGAAGACCACCGGGTGCAGAGTATTTCCTGACTCTCTCAACAGCTCTGACATGGTGCAGAGGTGGTCCCAGGCTGGTGCTTTCTGAAGAGGTGATCCCTCATTCCCACCACACCTATAGACAGTTTTCCCTTTGACCTTTGGGAGAGTGCTCTGGGCCTGCCCCCAGACTGATGACTGACAACTTCCTTTTCCACTGCTCCTTTCCAGTCTCTCCGTGCCCCTCCCCCTCAACCTGCCATCCCTGGAGGCCCTCTGACCTGCTGTGGCTATTTATGGCACCTCCTGGGGACCTGAATTCCTGGCTAGTTGGCTCTCCTTTCCAAGTCAGACCAGTTTCCCCTGCGCCCCAGAGTGCAGCAGCTAATCTGGAGGATCAGGTGCGAGGGGCCTGACTCCTCCCCCTGCAGCTGCCACTACATTCTTTTTAGGGCTGGCATGCCCCACCCCCCAGTTAACTCTATTGGGTAAGGTTCTATCAATATGCCCCTCCTGCACAGGAAGGAACTGGGCTGTAAGGTATTCGTTTAAGGTTAAGTCAGTGGGATGCTGGGGCTTGAACCCAGATCTGTCAGCCTCTAAGTTCCATGCTTTTCCTACAGTGTTATGCTGCCTGGAATTCACTAACAAGGAGAGCTGACTTTAAGACAGCCCTTGCTGCCAGCCTGACATTGCTCTAAAGCACATCGTGTCACATAAACTAGTTCATTTACTCCTCACAAGTAGGTACTATTATGATCCTCCTTTTACTGGTGAGGAAATTGAGACCAGAGAGTTTAAGTGACTTACCCAAGGTGATGCAGTTGGTGAGGGCAGAGCTATTTGCTTCCGGAGTCATACTCTTAACCCCTTCACCATTCAGTCTCTACTACTGCCAAGACCCCTCAGACAAGGGTGTGAGGGAGGAGGGGAAAGCAGGGGAATAGGGGGAGCTGAGGAGACTCAGAAGGAGTTATTGCAGGGAGAAGGGGCTCTGGGAAGTAATTGGTACACGGGGGGCGTGTGTGTGTGTGTGTGTGTGTGTGTGTGTGTGTGTGTGTGTGTGTGTGTGTGTGTGTGAAAGAGAGAGAGAGAGAGAGACAGGCATAGGGACACCAGACAGCTGGTCAGTAGAGATGGAAACCAAGAAGGCAATTCTTCCAGCCATCTCTGCCGGTCCCTGCCCCCTTCTGGCGCGGATACGATGGCTGGAAGGAGCTGGGTTAGGCCTAGATAAGCTGCAGCCTGCCTCTCCCTGTTCCATTTCCCATGGTCATTTCAGAAAACATTTGGAGGTCCTAGAAGATGGCTGAGAAGGAGGGGACAGAGTCAGGCTTGGCCATTCCTTGGGGCTTGGCTGAATGTGTAGATGCCCTCACTGGAGAGGTAGCAGAGAGGCCAGGAGGGGGGCTGGTGGAAAATAGAAGCCTCATCAGAGGAAAGTTTAAATTCTCACTTGGTGAAAGAAGATACCTCGGGGGCGCATTGATGGAGTGGGTGCTTTATGTGCAGGGACAGCTGGGACCCCAACAGTGCGTTGCCCCAGAGACCCAGTCCAGGCGTGCCTGCCCCTCTGGTCACTACTGAGACAAAGTACACAAACAACGGGCTGGTCACCAGACAACCCCCTGGCAGGCAGAAGCCTGCCTTCTCTGGCAACTGCTCTGTTGACATAAACATGGGGTGTCCAGGGTTTTGATTGGCCTTGGCCTGGGAGCAGGGAGGAGCCCAAGGGTCTCCCAGAGTCTGAGGCTGGGATTGGAGAAGGCAACAGAATCATGGGGCAGGCCAGGGT